TCCTCGGGGGCGGGGACTGATGTGAATGTACAATATATCCTGTATGTGAAGCGCTGAGTAAATTGACGGCGCTATATAAGTACCTGAAATAAATACATAAATAAATATTAGACTGTTCAAAAAAATCGCCGTGTTTGTATTCTTCTTTACAAACTCCAACATTCACTATATAAACTGAGAAATGTTTGAAGATTTTGCTTTCCTTTGAATGACTTCATGAATATTTGGTTGTAGTCGCACTGTTTCTGAGAACTGCTGTACATCTGTGTTGCATGGAGTCCCCCAACTTCTGGCCCCTGTGATCAGGTATTCCAGCCCAGGATGATTGGACCACATTCCACAGTTCTTCTCTATTTCTTGGTTTTGCCTCAGAAACGGCATTTTTGATGTCACCCCAGAAGTTTTCTATTGGATGAAGATCCGGGGATTGGGCTGGCCACTCCATAACGTCCATCTTGTTGGTCTGGAACCAAGATGTTGCACGTTTACTGGTGTGTTTGGGGTCGTTGTCTTGTTGGAACACCCATTTCAAGGGCATTTCCTCTTCAGCATAAGGCAGCATGACCTCTTCAAGTATTCTGATGGATTCAAACTGATCCATGATCCCTGGTATGCGATAAATAGGTCCAACACCGTAGTATGAGAAACATCCCCATATCATGATGCTTGCACCACCATGCTTCACGGTCTTCACAGTGTACTGTGGCTTGAATTCAGTGTTTGGGGGTCGTCTGACAAACTTTCTCCGCCCACTAGACCCAAACAGAACAATCTTACCTTCATCAGTCCACAAAATGTTGCGCCATTTCTCTTTAGGCCGGTCAATGTGCTCTTTGGCAGATTGTAACCTCTTCAGCACACGTCTTTTTCCCAACAGTGGGACTTTGCGGGGACTTCTTGCAGATAGCTTGGCTTCACATCGGCGTCTTCTAATTGTCACAGTCCTCACAGGGAACGTCACACCTTCTTTCATCTTCCTGGAGCTGATTGTTGGCTGAGTCCGCGCCATTTTGGCTATTCTTCTATCCATTCCAATGGTAGTTTTTCGCTTTCTTCCGCGTCTTTCAGGTTTTGGTTGCCATTTTAAAGCATTTGCGATCATTTTAGCTGAGCAGCCGATCATTTTCTGCACTTCTTTATATGTTTTCCCCCTCTCCAATCAACTTTTTAATCAAGGTACGCTGTTCTTCTGAACAATGTCTGGAACGACCTATTTTCCTCAGAATTTCAGAGAGAAATGCACTGTAACCAGCATGTCCAACATTTGCTGCCTTCCTTCCTTAAATAAGGGCAATAATTGCCACCTGTTTATCAAAGAATGAATGACCTCACTAATAGAACTCCACACGGCTATTATTTTGAACACGCCCCTTTCAATGAGTGATTCAATGACACAGAATCAGCAGCATGCCTGTCATGACTGTTGGGTCTGTTGGATTTCTATGACTCTACTACACCTGCTAGGAAATTATTTGCCATGTAGAAATATCATTTCCACCAAAAACAGTGACTGATCCGGTTAGTGATGTCTGACTGCTAATTATTTTGAACAGAACTGTATGTGTATGTGTATATATATATATATATATATATATATATATATATGTATTGAATACGGCCAAAATTGTAGTATTTCAAATGTATGTCAATATATTTGGGAAGAATATTTTTAAGATATATTTCACATATATTTTTCTTCCATGTGGGTATGCTCCCATCCTGGAGGCGTTTTTTTTTTTTGGCAGTTAAATTTACAGGTAATTGTTCCCCCAGCACGTCTGTAGGCTTTGATGCAAGACTCTATCTGCTGACGCACCTTGTCCTATTTGGCATCTCCTGTCACTTTTGAGATGATTTCTATTCATACATTAAATAATGTCACTTTGTAAAATCAGATCCATGTGCTAAAATCTCCTTTATGGATGACAGGTAACTGCTACATGACAGAGGAGCGATCATGAGTCACTATGGCAGCTGTGCTTGTAACTGTCACTTAGGAAAAGGCTTCCTTGTCATCTAGCCTGATGAGTCACTTATCACCTTACTTCATAGGCCGCCGAGGATTAACACTTGGAGGAAGAAAGCCACAATGTCATATCTGTTGGCAGCGGCCAAACATGCAAATGATTGAATGGACGGAAACCTTGTGATCATTTAGAGATGGGACTAGGCCCGAGTATACCCGACCCACCACAACTTCATGGAAAGTTCTAGAATGAAGGGAAACCTAGATGCCCACAGCTCCCAACTTGTATGGCACCATTCCAAGAGTATCCGAAGCTGTTCTAAAAGGAAACGGTTATCCCCACTGCTAGAGGCATAACTAGAACCTTCAGGGCCCAGGTGTAAGAAACCATGAAGGGCCCCCCTGACCCCTCCCTCCTCTTTGTGCCCGGGGCCTTTCCCTCCAAGCCCGGCGCCCTTTCCTCCCATCCAGTGTTGCCAACCCCCAATTACTTTTTTTTTTAACCCCTTCCAGTCCGGACACTTTCACCCCCTTCCAGTCCGGACGCTTTCCCCCCCTTCCAGTCCGGACGCTTTCCCCCCCTTCCAGTCCGGACGCTTTCCCCCCCTTTCACCCCCCCCCCTTCCAGTCCGGACGCTTTCCCCCCTTCCAGTCCGAACGCTTTCCCCCCCTTCCAGTCCGGACGCTTTCCCCCCCTTCCAATCCGGACGCTTTCCCCCCCTTCCAGTCCGGACGCTTTCCCCCCCTTCCAGTCCGAACGCTTTCACCCCCTTCCAGTCCGGACGCTTTCCCCCCCTTCCAGTCCTGACACTTTCCCCCCCTTCCAGTCCGGACACTTTTACCCCCTTCCAGTCTGGACACTTTCCCCCCCTTCCAGTCTGGACACTTTCCCCCCCTTCCAGTCTGGACACTTTCCCCCCCTTCCAGTCTGGACACTTTCCCCCCCTTCCAGTCTGGACACTTTCCCCCCCTTCCAGTCTGGACACTTTCCCCCCCTTCCAGTCTGGACACTTTCCCCCCCTTCCAGTCTGGACACTTTCCCCCCCTTCCAGTCCGGACACTTTTACCCCCTTCCAGTCTGGACACTTTTACCCCCTTCCTGTCCAGGCCAATTTTTCAGCACTATCACACTTTGAATGACAATTGCGCGGTCATGCATCACTGTACCCATATGAATTTTTTAGCATTTTTTTTTAGACAGATAAAGCTTTTTTTGGTGGTATTTATTCACCACTGGGATTTTTATTTTTTTTTTGCTATATAAATGAAAGTCCAAAAAGTATTTTTCTTACAAAATTTTGCAACTAAATTTTTGACCAAAATTTATTCAGTTATCTTTTTCGGAAAAAAAAATACGTAAATTAATTTATAACCAAAAATTATAATTTTTCAAAAATGTTTTTGCATTTTTATTTAATTTTTTTTTATATTATTTGTTTTTTTTGTTGTTTTTATTTTTACATACTGTCACCCTAGCAGTTCGGTGTCACCATGGTGACACTGTACTACTTGTGGGGGGTGATGAAGATTATTTTTTTTTTTTTTTACACTGATTGCTTTTACACCCATAAAGGCTGTAAAAGCAATCATTTCTCCTTCTCTCTGGCTGCATTCCTGCAGCCATTGAGAAATACTGTGTGAGCTGTGATTGGTCACAGCTTGTCACATGGTACAAGGCTGTTGTGAATAGCCCTGTACCATGTGATCTCTGTGATCATTCACAGATTTCACACATAGTAAGCAATAATGTCAGAAGTGACATCTTGCTTACTACTCTACATGTGATCACTGGTTGGCCAATCAGTGATCACATGATCAGGACCTCGCACAGACAATGATCGGTGTTCCACTGTGTCCGGAGGACACAGTGCACACCGGATCGCGATGCTGCGTGCTCCCAGGGAGCGCGCACAAGCAGGGAGCGGGGAGGACATTTATAAATGGCCATCCGCCCCTGCACTGCTCCCGTCTGGCCGTTTACGTACATGGGGCCGGACGGGAAGTGGTTAACGGACAAAGCATGAAAAATTTACTGACTGAGCAAATTTTTTACTGACAACCTAAACTATGACAGAAACTCCTATTATAAACAAAGACAACTGATATTCAGTCTTCATGCACACTGGGGGGAGTTTTGATCACGCTGGTAACATTAGCTGTGTAAAGTCACGTTAAGAATGTGAGTCTTCAGCTTTTTTTTAGCGTTTTTGCATTAGCGTTTAGCAGGGTTTTTCCGCGTTTGTGTTTTTTAGTGTTTTTTTGGTCAACAAAAGTCCAAAAAGGCTGGTTTGCGGCGTTTTATCGCTTTTTTCAGCATTAGAGCGTATTTACAGCTAAATAACTCCTCTAGAAACCCACTAGTCCTGGGGTTTTTTTCCAGCCAAAAAACGTTGATTCCAGTCTCTGTGTGTATGGACACATAGGATAACATGCCGGGGATGGACACACAGGAGAACATGCTGGGGATGGACACATACAGGAGATGACATGCCTGGGGATGGACACGTAGGATAACATGCTGGGGATGGACACATAGGAGAACATGCCGGGGATGGACACATAGGATAACATGCTGGGGATGGACACATAGGATGACATGCCGGGGATGGACACACAGGAGAACATGCCGGGGATGGACACATAGGATGAACATGCTGGGGGATGGACACATAGGAGAACATGCCGGGGATGGACACATAGGATAACATGCTGGGGATGGACACACAGGAGAACATGCTGGGGATGGACACACAGGAGAACCGGGGATGGACACACAGGAGAACATGCCGGGGATGGACACACAGGAGAACATGCCGGGGATGGACACACAGGATGAACATGCCGGGGATGGACACACAGGATGACATGCCGGGGATGGACACATAGGATGACATGCCGGGGATGGACACATAGGATGACATGCCGGGGATGGACACATAGGAGAACACACCGGGGATGAGGACCTAGGAGAACACGCCGGGGATGGACACATAGGATAACATGCCGGGGATGGACACATAGGACAACATGCCGGGGATGGACACATAGGATAACATGCCGGGGATGGACACATAGGATAACATGCCGGGGATGGACACATAGGAGAACATGCCGGGGATGGACACATAGGATAACATGCCGGGGATGGACACATAGGATAACATGCCGGGGATGGACACATAGGATAACATGCCGGGGATGGACACATAGGATAACATGCCGGGGATGGACACATAGGAGAACATGCCGGGGATGGACACATAGGAGAACATGCCGGGGATGGACACATAGGATAACATGCCGGGGATGGACACCTAGGAGAACATGCCGGGGATGGACACTAGGAGAACATGCCGGGGATGGACACCTAGGAGAACATGCCGGGGATGGACACCTAGGATAACATGCCGGGGATGGACACCTAGGATAACATGCCGGGGGAGGATAACATGCGGGGATGGACACTAGGATAACATGCCGGGGATGGGACCTAGGATAACATGCCGGGGATGGACACATAGGAGAACATGCCGGGGATGGACACATAGGAGAACATGCCGGGGATGGACACATAGGAGAACATGCCGGGGATGGACACATAGGATAACATGCCGGGGATGGACACATAGGAGAACATGCCGGGGATGGACACATAGGAGAACATGCTGGGGGGGTTTACTGGCTGTAGAAAAAACCGTCAAAAGCCAAAAACAGCCGCTGTACAAACGTCCCGTGTGCGTAAGGACTCAAGGGATGGGACTAGGCCCGAGTATACCCGACCCACAACAACTTTATGGAAAGCTCTAGAATGAAGGGAAACCTAGATGCCCACAGCTCCCAACTTGTATGGCACCATTCCAAGAGTATCCGAAGCTGTTCTAAAAGGAAACGGTTATCCCCACTGCTAGGGAAGTAACTAGAACCTTCAGGGCCCAGGTGCAAGAAACCATAAAGGGCCCTTCTGAACCCCCCCACACCCCCTTCCCCTTCATGACTGTGGGGCCTTTCCCTCCAAGCCCGGGGCCCTTTCCTCCCATCCAGTGCTGCCAACCCCCAATTACTTTTTTTTTTTTTACTGACAAAAGTATGAAAAATGTACTGACTGAGCACGTTTTACTGATAACCTAAACTATGACAGACACTCCTATTATAAATAAAGACAATTGATATTTAACGGCTAGATTCACAATCAAGGAAAAAAGATAATAAATGCACATATTTTTTGCAGGGAAAAAAAATGCACTTTTTTTCCCCACTGGAGCCTTCAAAGCATTGCCCCTGAGCTCAGTGGATCACGGGTGCAATGTTAGGCTCCTGCAGACACTGCTTCCAACTTTTGTAGGTAGAAAGTAGAGAGAATAGTATCTGACATTTTTGTGGGACTTTTAAGGCAACCTTGGAATATATACAAAACAATCAATTCTTTTAACCACTTGACTGCCAGAGGATTTACCCCCCTTAATGACCACGCCTCTTTTTGCTACTCGGCGCTGCACTAATTCAACAATTCAAAAGATAATTGCGCGCGGTCATGCAATGCTGCACCCAAACGAAATTTACGTCCTTTTTTTCACACAAATAGAGCTTTCTTTCGGTGGTATTTGATCACCTGTGGCGCTTTTTATTTTTCACGCTATAAACAAAAAAAGGCCAAAAATTTTGAAGAAAAATGATATTTTTTACTTTCAGTTATAAAAAATATATAGTAAACTCAAAGTTGGTTATAAATTTAGGCCAAAATGTATTCTGCTCCATGTTTTTGGTAAAATAAATCCCAATAAGTGTATATTGATTGCTTTGTGTGAAAGTTATAACGTCTTCAAACTATGGTATAGATACTGCAATTTAAGCCATTTTTCTGCTATACAGCGCAGCGCTAGTTGAACAGACAATTGCGCGGTCATGCAATACGGTACATAAATGAAATTTACATACTTTTTTTTTCCCCACAAATTGAGCTTCTCTTTTGGTGGTATTTGATAGCCTGTGCGGTTTTTATTTTTTGCGCTATAAAAAAAAGGCTGACAATTTTGAGAAAAAAAAAAACAATATTTTGGACTTTTTGCTATAAAACATGTCCAGTAAAAAAATTTTAAAATCAAATTTAGTCATAAATTTCTGCCAAAATGCATTCTGCAACATGTCTTTGCAAAAAAAAAAAAACCCAATACGTGTAAATTAATTGGTTTACGTGAAAGTTATAGCGTTTACAAATGGCGGTAGAGATACTGGGATTTTTAGTTTTTTTTTTATACTAATAATGGTGGCGATCAGCAACTTATGGCGGGACTGCGGCGGACATTCTGACATTGGGGGGTACTACTTGGTACTTACTTATTATTCAGGGAAAGGGTTAACAGTGTGAGGGGAGTGTTTTACTAGGGGGCGGGGTGTGTACTGCAGGGAACACTGCTGATCGGGAGAGAGAAACTCTTCTGTCCCGATCAGCGTGTCCTGGAGCTGTCAGGGAACTGACAGGAAGCACAGCTACTGCAGCTCTCTGTCAGCGATTGCCGTTAATCACCGGGACACAGCCGGTAACGACTGGCTGTGACCCGGCGACTGACATCCGCGGCTGTGATCGGCGGGAAAGGTAGGGCGGCGGCGCGCCCCCTACCTATTTTAAAAAACACACGTTTTAAAACGTGGTTTTTCCCAGCCGTGCCGCCCTGCGCTGTATTTCTATAGTGGCTGGGCAGTATGTGGTTAAAGATTGACATTTTATTTGACACATTAATACAGGAAGAATCTATACTAAAGTATTCGAAATGCGTTGGATTTAGGCTGAATGTACTTAGGCTGCAAGATGTAAATCGGCTTTAGAGGACACCATCAGTCATCCACTGCGATAACTACAAAAGTGAAGCAAATATGTTGACAAGAATCATTATACTGTATTGGTGCAATATGTGTTGTCCATTCGATATATATTAATGTGTCAAATAGAATGTCAATCTTTTAAAGAATTGATTGTTTTTGTATATGTTCCAAGGTTGCCTTAAAAGTCCCACAAAAATGTCAGATACTATTGTCTCTATTATGTAAATAGGAATGATGGCAACCACACCCTAAGTTACACTGGATGATCTTTTATTTGTAGGTAGAAAGTTGGAGGAGGTGTCAAAGGAATATTCTGATCATAGGGTGAGGGGTTTGGGGCGCTTAGCAACATATTACACCTTAAATACGGGTGCAACATACAGGGAAGGAAATAAGTGTTTGATCCCCTGCTGATGTTGAATGTTCGCCCCTCACAAAGAAATGATCGGTCTAAAAATTGAAAGTTCGGTGTATTGTAACACTGAGAGACAGAATACAACAACAAATTCAGCAGAAATGCGTCTTACAAATGATGACGGATCTGCATGTTCATGAGGGAAATAAGGATTTGATCCTCTTCACAAAATATGACTTAGTACTTGGTGGCAAATCCCTTGTTGGCAATCGCAGAGGTGAGATGTTTCCTGCAGTTGGCCCCCAGGTTCGCACACATCTCAGGAGGGATTTTGGCAGATCCTCTCCAAGTCATTAAGGTTTGGTGGCTGACGTTTGGCAACTCGAACTTTCAGCTCCCTCCACAGATTTTCAATCGGATGAAGGTCTGGAGACTGGCTAGGCCACTCCAGGATCTTAATGTGCTTCTTCTTGAGCCGCTCCTTTGTTGCCTTGGCCGTGTGTTTTGGGTCATTGTCATGCTGGAACACCCATCCACCACCCATTTTCAATGCCCTGGCTGAGGGAAGAAGGTTCTCACCCAAGATTTGACGGTACATTGCCCCGTCCATCGTCCCTTTGATGCGGTGCAGTTGTTCTGTCCCGTTAGCACAAAAACACCCCCAAAGCGGAATGTTTCGACCACCATGTTTCACAGTTGGGATGGTGTTCTTGGGGTCATATGCAGCATTCCTCCTCCTCCAAACATGGCGAGTTGAGTTGATGCCGAAGAGCTCGATTTTAGTCTCATCTGACCACAACACTTCCCACCAGTCCTCCTCTGCATCATTCAGATGTTCAGTGGCAAACTTCAGACGGGCCTGGACATGGGCTTTCTTGAGCAGAGGGACCTTGCGGGCACTGCAGGATTTCAGTCCTTGTCGGCGTAGTGTGTTACCAATTGTTTTCTTGGTGACTGTGGTTCCAGCTGCCTGGAGATCATTGATCCTCACGTGTAGTTCTGGGATGATTCCTCACTGTTCTCATGATCATTGACACTCCACGAGGTGAGATCTTGCATGGTGCACCAGACCTAGGGAGACTGACACTTGTTTTGTGTTTCTTCCATTTGTGAATGATTGCACCAACTGTTGTCACCTTCTCACCAAGCTGCTTGGCCATAGTTTGGTAGCCCAGTCCAGCCTTGTGTAGGTCTACCATCTTGTCCCTGACATCCTTGGACAGCTCTTTGGTCTTTGCCATGGTGGAGAGTTTGGAATCTGATGGTTTGATTGCTCCTGTGGACAGGTGTCTTTTATACAGGTAACACAATGAGATTAGCAGCACTCCCTTTAAGAGACTGCTTCTAATCTCAGCTTGTTACCTGTATGAAAGACACCTGGTAGCCAGAAATCCTGCTGAATGATAGGGGATCAAATCCTTATTTCCCTCATGAACATGCAGATCAGTCATCATTTGTTAGACGCATTTCTGCTGAATTTGTTGTTCCTATTCTGTCTCTCAGTGTTACAATACACCGAACATTCAATTTTTAGACCGATCATTTCTTTGTGAGGGGCGAACATTCACTGATCTTGTCTCCAAATATCACCCAAACCGTCCTCTCCGCTCCTCGCCAGACCTTCTACTCTCTAGCTCCATTGTCTCCTTCTCCCATGTTCGTCTCCAGGACTTCTCCAGAGCTTCCCCCATACTCTGGAACTCTCTACCCCAATTTATCAGACTATCGCCTACTCTGCTCAGTTTTAGGCGATCTCTGAAAACCTCTCTCTTCAGGGAAGCCTATCCTGCCCTCAGCTAATAATGGAATCTTCTACTCTTCCAACCAGTCCATCCCCCACAGTTACTACCTTTTGTACCACTAGCCCCACTACACCTGTACATCTAAAAGGAGACCAGAGGGTCTTTTAGACCCCGGATGTCTCAATAAAGGGAACCTGTCACCTAAAAATCATCACATAGGGGACTTTGTGTCTCCTAGGTGATGAAAAAAAAGTTAAATATACTTTTTTTTTTTTTTAAGTGCAAAAAAATAGTTACACCCAAGCACATAACACCCCGCCCCAAAAATGTTTTAAGGCCCCCCCCCATCCCGGGGCACCAACACATGAAAACATTGATTGAAAAACATGTTACATATCGCTGCGCACGCCAGAGTGAAAGCAATAATTCTAGCACAAGACCTCATTCGTAACACTAAAACTGATGATCTGTAGGGGATTTTGAAGCTTCGCCCTTAGAAAATATAGGCTGCTGAATGTCGCCATCTCATAGGTGCACACAAATTTAAGGTTTGACGTGTTGGGCATCTATTTACCTTATATTTTATGTTTTACAGAACATTTGGATAACTTATTGCATTTGTTTGCCCTAAAATTCACTTTAGTGTTTCTTTACCGAAATGTTGTGTTTCCTAGACCTTTGTGGTAATATCGTGTGACATAAAAAATTGGAACCTCCGCTATCTTATGCTCTAGAGGAGTGGTTCTT